ATGAAAAAGATATATATATATATGTATATATTGGTTTTTATACAATTATCAGCTACATGTAATATTCTTTGAGGCACATTGTTGTTCAACTTTTTGCATTTCAACAAGGATAGTTGCTATGGCATGTCTTAGTTGATGAAACTTAGACAGAGATAATTCAAATATTTGTCGCTTCCCATTGTTAAATGTCCATTCCATTATAACATGTGGTTCCAAGACTCTATTCAATATACTAAAAATACACGAAATACTAAGTAAGAATTTTCTTGAAAACTCCAAGATTTTAACTTTTATGTCTAAATGATTGGTATTATAAAAGATTTCTAATAATGCCATTTATATGTATTTAAAATTACCTAGAAGAAACAGTAACATCTATGCGCCACTTGCAAGATATCAAGTGTGGATAAAATTTTGTTTTTTGTATCAAACCTGACATTAATTCTGGTCTCTTTTGACTATACACAACTGTAGACAAATCATCAATACATTCTGAAGATAATCTGCAAAAGACAATATGAAAGACAATATAAAACAGAATAAAAGGAATAAAATGTTACACACACACACATACCTTAATTCTTCTAATACTTGTTTAAATTCTATAGGTTTAACACTTTCGGACAATGTACCTAAATGAATCTTTAATATTGTAAAAATGACTGAATAATATTCATCTACAATTTCTTCTGGTACATTATACTTTTGGCTTATTCTGTCCAATATTCCATCCTCTATGTATTCCTGATTTATTGCTTTTACAGCTACTATAAATGATAAATTGCAAACCTTTCCATGAGACATGTTGTATATGACATATTGCACTTATAATATAATAGTAAAAATAAACTTACTTTGTATTAAAGGGCGAACAAATACCTTTTTCAATTCTGGAAGAACTTTTGTTTTATTTCCTAAAGCATACAAAAGTTGAGATTGAAAGGTTGTCATTTTTATTTTGATCTTGTTATTGTTATTGTTTTATAAGAAATGATAGTTCAAAAAGTTAATTTGATACACTAGGCACGCTTATCAATCTTGTTTATAAGATTTGGTAATAATATTAATAAAGAGATACTATTCTGTCAAGCTCATTGTCAGAGTTGATTTGTTTTCACAGTTTAATGCCATCTAGCAGAACGTGAGCACAGTGAATGTACAGGAATATGTAAAGTATTAAAATAATGAGAATCAAAATAATGCACGCTGTTTTATTTTGTAATAAGATAAAATACACCTCTAACGATTTTCGATATTTATTATTTTATTAAAAACGAAAATTGTATGCAAATAGAAATTAAATGTTAATTTAATGTTTACTTTAATGATATTCAACTTTTGAATAACATTTATAAGAACAGTTAATGTTATTATATGGAATATACATTTTAAAGAATATTTAATCATTTTTCTTTAATTTTAATTGCATATTGATTATTATTTAATTGATGTCGATAATATAGATTTCTGAACATTAAAAATGATTGTGTGGTCACGTTTTTACTAGAACATAATAAAAAGTAATAAGAATAATATGAATTTTTAGTTTCATTTATGTAATGTACATAACAAAGAAAGAATATTATGAAATATTTAAAAATAGTAAGTTATGTGAAGTACCATGATATGGAATGTTTGGATAGAATTATACAACTGACCGTGTGGCCTAATGGATAAGGCGTCGGACTTCGGATCCGAAGATTGCAGGTTCGAGTCCTGTCACGGTCGAACAAAATAATTTTTTTTTTCGTTCATTGCGTTGTTTCACATTACACTAATTTACTAAATTTCATAAAATCATTGTATGTGTATATATATTTTCAAAGAAAATTGATGATACAATTATATCTACTTTTTTTTGGATATGTGTGCATTTGATAATTGAAAAAAGTAATTTATTTGTCAGTAACGTTTTAAGTGCAATTATTATATACGTTTAAAAATTTTTTTAAGGTATATTCTGTTATTTATAGTGACTTGTAAAGTAATTATATTGTTACGAATTAATAATATTGGGTAAAAAATATGTTGTTTCAATACAATTTGAGTGCAGTAACACTTTTATACGAAGTGTAAAAAAATTTCCTTCGAGCCGGATTTGAACCAGCGACCTATGGATATCCAAATTTCAACAAGCCAACTACAGTCCACCGCTCTACCAACTGAGCTATCGAAGGTTTTACGATTATGATTCATCGCTGGAGACAAGATAAGTTCCATTATGGTATAAATTTTAATAAGCTTGCTTATTATCGACTTATTTCTGTAGTTAGTTTCACAGTTGATATTCTTCTTGTGAATTAAAATTCTTATAGATAGTTTATCATAAAATTCACTTTCAGCTTACGAAACAGTCCAGCACTTTGAAATATTTCAAGCACTGAATTATTTCAGGCAAAAGTCAACAGTAATTTAATATAATATACGAGTGAAATATTTTTGTAAAAAATTACTACGGCAGAAAAAAAAGTAATATTCAGTTCTTGTTCTTTGATATTAAAACTGTTAAGTTCTTTGTTAAAGAACACGCGTCTAGTAACATGACCCCAAAACATTTCATTCGATAGAGAAAGATAGAAGAGCCAATGCGACGAGGAGATGAGGGGAAATGGTTTTCGCATGCCCTGACATTATTACGAACATAAAGGTCGAAGGTATTTTTTCGAAAAGCTTGCTACTGAAGATTTTATACTTTCCAATACAAAAATCTCATAATAAAAATACAAAAATGCTATAAAATTGTGGTCATATTACTAACCAAGTATTGTGAACTACAATTGCAGGTTATGTAATTGTTCCGAAAGAACAGAATAAATTTAAAGGTAAAATGCAGAAGTAAAAAAATTTATGATTTCTAATGAAATATTTAATCGTTTTCTTTATATATTTGCCATTACTTTTACTTATTGTTAAAGGTAAGTTAAAATAAATGTTCGTTCTGGTACAATAATGAATTATCTTAAGTAACATATACATGTATTATTTATAGTCACCCTCAATCTAAATGGATCTAAAAAGATGAAAATCCTTGTAAAGTAGATAAACGGTCGTTGAGCACAAGTGTGAATGTTAATTTAATTACCATAGCTAATTAGCAAATTGCTACATGGTTGTAGGAAGTGACAATACATGATAACCTACCGCGTATGATTTTCATATCATTAAAAACCAATTATTAGTAGTTCGATAATTGCCGTTAATTTTTTAAATTACTTTTTCCAAATGTAATGAATGAAAAAAGTTACAAATTGGGAAAATATCTTAGTAATCGTAGGATATTTAATTTCAAAATATTTTCCTTCAGCTGAATTTGACAATTCGACGGTTTTTAACGTCGAAATCTTCCTGGGAGTGCCGTTTCTCTAATCAGAACATAGTGAATCTATCTTGACAAGACCACACCTAAATGTATATCGTACTTCAGACGAACCTCTCTTTCGATCTCTTTTCAGCTAGTCATTTGAACAACGGGGTATATCATTACGGTTATGTTGTGATTTTCACTAACCATCTTTTTCCGATGTTATACCCTTACAGTGAGAAACCATTCTCAAAAAATTGAAATTTTTGGTATATTTTTACAATAATAAATTTTTGTCACAAATAATTTAAATATATTTTGTTTTATTTAATGCTCATCAATTTAGATCGTTCAGTACGTAGTGGTAAATGTTTCAAGCATTTGTTTTGTTTATTTTTATAAAAAATTCTACACAATTGAATGATAATTCATAATTACATTAGTATACTTTCATAATATGGCGCGATGTATAAGCAGCAAGAGGGGGGACTTCAAACGGAAAAGTAGCAAATTCTCGATTGTAGAAGACTGTAAGGAGAGTATATCAATAATACAATAGACATCGTACTCTTCGGAAGTAAATATTCGTTATTGCCCCGGTGGAAGCTGGAGATTCGTACAAAGCACGGTTTACTGGTACAAGAATACTTGAAGATACTTATGAACATTGGTAAATATCGCAAGACCTCTGTTCTACACATTTTGTCTCTTAAAACAGGTGTTCTCACCGTACGATATGATCGTAATATTGATTCTTAATAAGCGACATTACATAATCGTTTAATTGCGAATTCCCGATACTAATTATAAGTCTGAATTTACATATACATATGTAATCGCGTGCACATAACAATTGCGTGTGACGGTAACATATGTTATAGGACCATGAAAACGTGGGTTACTTACGCATTTTCCCCCACATTAAATAATAATCTCTATCGATGCACCGATATATTCCTTTTGATTGCGTGCAATTTTTTTTCTTATGGATGACAGCGCCATCTTTCCACGGTATAAAAAATTAACCATCTATAAGTAAACATCGTCTGTATTTGAACTTTCATAATTACAGGACAATTAACTTAAATCTAACTATTGAACATTATATGGAATAGTAAGAAAATATTACGATGTTATAGGTTATATAAATGTACAATTTTGTCTAAGAACGAGCATAGTTTTTATTTATATCTTCCAATTTCGTTTTTGTATTATTAAATGTGACACTTTACAAATCAAATAAGTGTCATTCTTACTTCGACATGCACAAATTACCCCTGCACGGTCACGTGTCCCGTCGACAATGGTCGCAGAAGGATTGAAACGCGTCTCACCATCCACCAGCTGACGTCGACAGGCGGCACATCGTGTTCCTGCCATAGAGGAGGGTGAGACGGTTGGATAATTTCTTCCAGATCATGCTAACTCCAACGAACTGTTTTGAAGTGAAACGGGAGGAAGAATGGGCAAAGGATTGGACGGACAGGGAACATTAGAAGAACGCAGACGCGGACCTATTCGCAACGGCGGTATGGCGCTGTACGCTTGCGCGGATCGAGGCAGGGTTTGTGGACGAGGAAGAGGGTGCGAAACGAGAGAAAGATAATGGAAACGGTAAGAATAGAGAGAAAGATAGGCTCGCGTGACATGAAAGGAATAGAGTGAAGAAAATACGCTAAAGCCGAGAAATATATGGTACGATGTACAGAAACGTGACAGGACAATAATGAAGGAAGAACATACGATGCAATAAAAACATAGGGTACAAAGTCATTAGAGAAGTACAGTATACAAAAACGAAATAGTGGTCGAGTTGGAATTAGAAAATAGAATATCAAGATGAAATGAGAGAAATACTGTAGAATAAAGGCCGGAAGGGAAAGATAGAAATAGAGGAAACGATAATGACGCGTGGAAAGAGGAAGACGGTGAATGTAAAACTATACAAGGGGTAAAGGTGGGGATGGAACAGAACAGGCAAGAAAGGTGGCGCTCTCGCGCAGTCTGGCGTCGTCGGCCGATGGGTTTGCATCGAGGGCGTGTTTGGCTGTGGCATTCCTTTATTTCATCGTACTTGCAACTATTTAAACCGCCACATCGTTCGTTTGCTATTATATAGAGCGCGAGGACTGTCCTTTGAGTGTCGTAGCAAAGTTTTTAGCGGTCATAGAACGGTGACAAGAGACAACTGGTTATGCCGGTCGATGAGCCTTTGTGACTCGTGCCTTGGAGATCCTCATATACAACGGTCGCCGGCAGATGCGAGGGGTAATAAGGTAACGTTTCATTGCGAGAAAGCACACTTTCGAGCCGTTCGACGTGGACTGCTGTCCAGGCCGGTAGCGAATCGATTTTCACGAAGAGTGAAGCGGGAGCTGTAAGAGAGGGAGAGGAGAAGAGCGGAGAGAAGAGAGAGAGAGAGAAAGAGAGAGAGAGTGAGTGAGTGAGTGAGTGAGTGAAAGAGTGATGTGTGAGAGGGAAGAAAAGTAACATGGACAGTAATAGGGGCAGAATGTTTCTTCCTCCTTCCTTATTATTATTCCTTTTTTGGTACTTTAATATTCAATTTCTCTGTCTATAGTTTTCTATTTGTTTTGTTCAATTATGTTTTCAATATTTGTCCGTTCGTATGCGCGCGTGCATTTCTCGACTCGTAACCGAGGGACATGAACCCTTTACCGAAATCTTAGGACACGCTTCGTTCTAGTACCGCATCGGCAACGTAACCGTAAATTGATTGCTTAAATGTAACCGTGAACGTCAGAATGCTCTCGACAGTCCACTAAATCCGTTTTTCAGTTAACCGCAGCTGAAACAATGATACCTATGTTTGTTGCAAGTCTTGTTCTCTGATTACGAGATATCTAGAAGGCAGGGATAGTTGAACGATCTGCGCGTGAAAAATGGAACTTCATGATAGATCAATTTCAGCCATTGTACTTGATGCACACGAGCGCGAAGACGACCGTACGTCACCTTCAAGAATCGATGGATTTCCAAGCAACGTAAATCGATCCCCTATCGTTTCTTGATTGATTGTGAGAGTTCAAGAAAACAATTCCTCAAAGAAGATGCTACTTAGGAGGACGATCAAGAGGATTATCACCACGAGGAAAGGCGCGACGTTTAGCGACCTCTGCGTGCAAGTGCAAAAGTAATAATCGCTCTTCAAATATGCCCTAAACGAATTAGAAACCATTGACCGTTCGTAACGGAAAGTGATGCTTCTCGAATTATCGGATACTTCGTGTGTATTGGGATACTGTGTATGTGTGTGTATATCTGTCGACGCGAGTGCGGATCGTACGAACTGGTAATTGGACGAAATTTTTCGTTCCGTGTGGTTCCGCGTCTCTGACCCTCTTCCGCCCTCCGATTCTCCCTCGGTCGATAGACCCGACTCGACTCGTTGGGTTACTCTCTCCCGTGCGACTAGCGAAAAGGACGGAGACTGAGGGTCGAAGGAACGAGACTAGCAAAGTCACAGAGAAAATCGTATGATTGCAATATATACGTATACATATGCAGGACGGTGGTTTCCGTTGCGTTTCCGATCGATATCGCACTCACAAAGTGCTCGCGGAACGTCGACAACATGATGACAAACAAAGTGGCAGTAAAAGGCTGGCGCTGTTGGTGATAATTTAACCTTTTGTTTCGTAAGGATTGTCGAGCTGTAGGGAGTGGGAGGCCAGTGGGGTAACCACGGAGGGATTCGCGAAGCTCCGCGACCCGAATTAATCGGCGCACAGAACAGCCGGCGGAGTTAGGATTTCCGGAAGGAAACGATGTTTCTTTGCCTTTGACGGATCGTGTCCCCCTCTTCGGGCAATTATGCCTCTCGGCCACTCTACGCTTTGCTTTCGCTGGTGAGTTAACGATAGACGAGATTACCGAGCGTAATTGAATATAATAAAGTAAAATTTAATTTCGTTTTCTAAATGAAACGAAAATTATGGTAGTGTTTTGAGAAAATGAAATTTTCGTATATTGGAGATTTGTTCTTTTTCTTTTTACTTGTGTTTTCACGGAATAGAAACTTCGTCGTGTGGATGGACAAGTAAATTGATAACAAGTGACGTAGATTGAATTAGCAAACCTGTGCAAGAACTGTGATGCAAATGGTTTCACGTCGACTAACCGAGCTTCCTTCGTCGGTGAATCGGTGTTGTGATTCTTTCTAACTTATCGTTTCATTTGTTGTTTCGAAGGAAGTGATAACGAAAACGGGATCCTCTTACATTATCGTGTTTTTAATTCTTCACCGTAATCGCAGTAATAGGTTAGAAATTGTGCGGCAGGAAGATAAAGTATAATGGACAGAGATAATGAGTAAAGTTGGACAAACGAGTGTCTCTGCAGGGAGCCGTGAAAGAGGTCGTATGATCAGAGCTTTCGCGATGTCCCAATGGTGAATCCATAATGATCAGCTTCTCAGGATATCTACTCGTCGACTCTTTCATCAGAGATAGTCGTAAGATACGTTCTTTTGTCTTCGAATTATTTCTTACGAATTTCGGTTCTGTCGATAAACAAGGAGTCGACGTTTTTAGCGTAGAATACCAACATATGGTACCGTTGCTATATTTACCCATGAGTTGATGTGCATAGAAAACGTCACAGGATTTTAACTTTTTATAGATTATATAATTTAGTAATGCGTCATAACGTATATGAAGAGATCAGAAATCTTGGGGTTAATAGTAAATCAATATTACATTTTACGATTTGACAAATTGTTTCATGTTTGAAGTTCACCCGTATGTACCGTAAAATAAGGTTAAAAATCTAAACCAGTAAAGTTCAATCAACCCCGTTTGGTGCCATCTATAATGAGGGGCGTGCTGATTCTCCCGCGTATAATTTTTTAGGAGAAAAAATAATCCTAGTCGGACTAGACGAAATCGAGATCTATTGTTCGCGTCGAATTAACGTTCATGGTTTCTGTTTTTCCTGTGAGAACAGTACAGGTTGCGCGTAGCTAGATCTTCTTTCGCGGTGTCTACGGCTTACATGACTTTCGTCTGATGCGATTAAATCCTGGATACGTGTATGATGAGCGCACTGCAACAAGTAATCTCCTAGGGTCTTTGTAGTGCTTCGAGATTATACGCTTACGTGCAGGCTTGCTCGTCTTCCCTTGTTTCTTCGATATTGGACCTCGTTATTATTTGCTTGCACGTTCCTTCTTTGTTTGCAAAGTTTTCTTTCTTGATAAATTAAATAAATTACTTCATCATATAATGGTCGTTACTTAATTTCACATTTAATTCAGTTTCATTCGTTAAAGGTATTTTTAATAACAGTTTGAAGAGTTAATAGGTTAGTGTTTATAGACGGTGACTCGTTAAAAGCTATTGATTATAGGGACCTCTTGGATTGAGAAAGATTATGTAACAGAAGGATCTCTTTTAAAGGGAATTCTTTCGGAATTATTGAATTGCAAAAAAAGAAAATATGATTTTGATATTTAAAAAATATAACATTAACAATCTTCCTTGACTCGGAAGAAAAATGACGTTAGGTCGAAGCTTTTTCTTACGTCACGCTTGTCCTTTACAACCGCCTGTCTGTTATTAATTTGCCGTATTAAACACAGTAAGAATAAGCTGGTGCATTTTTTTAATTGACCACCCTGTATGCAGCTGCCGCGATAAAGGTTCGTCACTTGAAACAATTAGAAGTTCCCGTTTCATGCAGGTATAAGAGGACGAATTAATTAAGAGAAATTAAACATGTTTAATTCAGGAACATATTTCTTAAGTAACTAACCTTTTAAGACATATACGTCGAATCTCTTGTATTCGTGTTTTTAACTGTCATGCAAACATGTTTTTTTAGGATGATAACGCGGAAGCGAAATGTGTGCTAATAACCTGAACGAATGAATGAAAAATAGGAAGGACGTTGAGAATAAGAAGGCAGGCTTACCAACGTTATCACAGATATAACATTGTAATCTTTAATTATCTTAAAACGCGATCGTGTGGTGATTTACGCCAGTCTGGTTAGGGCTTAATCGACGAGCTGCTTTTTAATTTATCACTTGACAAATAATCGAATTTATTATTCATTGTGTAGATCCCTCCCGTTTCATTTTTTACATTTCGCAGAAAATTTTTGTTATGTTTTCCTTTCCTTTTTATCTTGAATAAACATGGTTGCAGCACCATGCATCCTTACGGTTAAACGTTCACAAACGTGAGATAACGTTTGATTTGCACAGTGTTGTTGCATAACGGTGGTAAATGAAACGAATTTTTTATTTTATCTGTTTTTTCTTTTTTTTTTTATTTATCTAACATTCGAGGGTGATTCCTCGTTTTATCATGAATATTCCGTTACAACTTCCCTGTTTTGTGTGACGCACGGCTGTGATGTCAATCGCGTTGGAAGATGCGCGCAATCGTCTTACGTACATACGTGTTGTGCAACGAATGCGGATACGAATGCAATCTGTGTTATTCGAAAGTCGGTACCTGTGTAGAAGGTTAAGTTCGCGTCGATGGAACAACAGAGAGTTCTTTATCGAATTTTTCTGGTATTGTTCTCGGCTAGGAACTTCAGAACAGATTGCGAATACTGAAATGCAAGGATTACCATTGTTTGCTATTCTAATATGTTTAATTTTGCGTTAGAAGCCATTTTGTTCAACGGTGTAAAGAAACGATAGTTTCGAACTTTTCGCCTTATTTTCATTCGAAGATTAGCGTCTTTTTAGTTGTACCACCTTTCCATAGATTCATCTTCTCGATATTTTGTTTTTAAATTTTGCAAAACCTAACCTAACCATGAAAATGAAAAATAATTTTAATGTTTACGTGTAAAATTCGATATTACAAAAATTCAACGCGAATGTAATATTTCTGTACAAGTCGTAGCGAGTTCGTTTTAACGTAAAAAGGAATTCGTCGTTTGTCTGTCACTGAATGATTAACGATCGTAACGTTCTCTCGTCACGTAATTCGCGCAATTACAGCGCGTCGTATTCGGCGTTGCTCGGCAGACATCGTGACGGCGTCGGTTTGTCTGGTCTGGTTCGTTCCTTACCTCGACAACCCTCGATGTCGTGGGGTGAAGACCCTGCACGTCTAGCCGGTGCCTCCCGTGCATTTCGTATTTATTATTTATACGCCGGCAAGTGTCTACATCCGGTAGGATACGCGCTGGAGATCCACTTCGTTAAAAGTATCGCCGTCGTGCTCTCCGACGCGAAATTACACGATTAGGGGCTTGCCATCGTGTGCTTTTCAAAGTGAACAACTAAATTCGATACGGTTCAACGTGGCGAGTTCGTTATTTCATGTAAATAGCGCGGTGTATGATGGCGCGAGTGGGTGGTGGTGGAGGGAGGTGTTTGACGATGATAAAATGAACGGTATACTTTTGGAGAAAATTGATGGGCTGATGAGAATTAGATGAAAATTGACATGAAGAGGGTTCGTTCGATTTTGGGGAATAGAAGTTGATTGTGTTTAAGTGGATTGCTCGATCTAATTTTAGGTTATGTTCGCATCACCAATGTCAATATAACTTTTTTTTTGTTTATTTCTTGTATTTCTGATACTGTACAATGTTATTTCATGTTCATTTTTAAACAGTGAATTCACTCCTGCATTATCTTATGCCATTAATTATGTAGGTACAATAACCATATCTCATACGAATGTTACGTATCAGTATTTCGCTTGAACCTTGAGCTTTGATCAAAGATTGAATCAGTGCGCAAAGACAATACTTTCTCAAGTTCACGAGTGCTGAATATTGTTTTTCTATTCACTATCATTATCATCTTGAAGTCTGGAAAATGTTAATTGTACAAAAAAAAACATAACCTTCAATGTTACAGACGAAAATACTCGTGAAAATTTTTCGATTATCAATTTATCAACAATTTTCTCTCCTTTACAATTTATTATACCCTTTTGACCATACAACTGTACACTTTTCGCCCACATAGTTCCAGCATTCTTCGTCTGTAGCTCACAATACAACTATGCCGCATCTCCAAGTGAAGTAGTCGGCAAAGGGTGCGCTTGAAATTCATAAATTCCTCCGCGTCTCCGTTAACTCACTCGTGAGAGAAGAAGAAGGTGATCCGGACGGTGGTATGGATTAAAGGGTAGAATTTGTTGGATTTGCATTTTTATCGGCGAGCCATTGATTGTTTATGGGCGCTGAGAGATGTCTGGAATGAATAATGAAAGATAGGTTAGGTTATGATCGAAAGAAACACAGACGCGAATACCAGTATTTATATCTGAATTACAACTATTTATATCCACTGTCTGTCTCTATTGTGTGTGCGTGTGTCGTTTATTATTTATACGAGACGAGGGTGCACAAGCTGCGTGACCGTGGAAAAGCAGTAAAGGGGGGCTCATGAAGTATTCAGACGCGTATGTGAACATGATATCCTTGCGCTGAACTTACGATATATCCGCTTAGAAAACTCCTCCTGGACCGAAATTTTTATAAGCTTCTTGTGAAGCAAAAAAAAAAAAAATCACTGCTAGTGAATAAATTTTGCTTACTTTGCAATTTTCCGAAACAAATTTTGTAGATTTTTCTGGAAAAGAAAGATTTAGATATCCTGAAAGATTTTTGAAAATTTGTTTTTTAGAGATCTGCAGACTTTTTAATTTGGAAAAAATTACGATAGAGTAAGAAATTAAATTTTCCAAGTGTTTCTACTTAGGTGATCTTATAGTGGTTACGGAACAATTTCTGGTCCAATATTTCCTCGTGCTGTGCTTACATTTTATTACTGAAAAATACGAGAAAAATGTCGTGTAAATAGAAGTTGAGAAATTACAGTTTATCAAGAAGTTATAACGAGAGAAGTGATATTAGATCGGCTTTTAATACGATGGATAGCTGTGTATGGAGGAGGTCCATGAAAAACTGGAAGGAAATGGAATTTCAAAAGATGTAAACTGATTAAAGATGAAGCATTTTTTTTTTCCAGAACTCGATAAAATTCGATTTGTAATAAAACCTACATTACCCCGATATTAAATTCTCGTGGATAGAAATAAGCCAGCTTCCTATATCTTCGTCGTAGCGTTTTAATCAAAAATTGACGATACTTAATTACGCGGAACGTATTAGCGGAAGCTATTTTCAAAGAACAGTTAATTTTTACCGATGAAAAAATTGGTCCTTTCACGCGGGAAATAAGGCGTATTCTCAATGGAGAATTTCATTGTTATTGAAACATTAGTGTAATTGCGAAGCTTCTCTCTCTCTCTCTCGTAGATTTTTGTTCGTCGTCTTGATGGTATATCCGTTGAGAAAGCACTCCAGAGAGTTCTTGGTAAAATACAGTTTGCTAAAGATATAATATACCGAATCAAGACAATTAGAGTCGGAATGAATCAAGTTTCAGGGACGAAGGAAGTGCCGCCGTGTTCCGTGCGCTGGTATTTTTCACCGAACGCCCACACGGTGTCCAGGAATCTTCTTTGTTAGATTTTAACGAGATTAAAGCTTGAAAGAAAATACAATGGAAATCCTTTGAGGATGAATCATAGACATTCGTGAGATATTCATAGAATTTTGGTTAAGATAGGGTCGAAATTATTGCCCCCTTTAAATTCACTTTTGCTAAAGCAGACCTGGAAAATTTGAATTTTTTCATTTCTATCTATTTTTCTGACAACGACTAACTGAACTATCAAATGTTCCATTTTTATGAATCGATAAGTCACGTTTCAATTTGTCAGGATCGAAGAGCACGTATAAAATAAATTCAACGAGACGTACAATTTTTAGATAAAATAGATAAAAATTGTTCACTTCGATTCAATTTTTTGTAAAGCAAACCTTGGAAATGATAATTTCTTCATTTCCCGATGATCCAGTAACGATCTAATCGTCTTGACTATCAAACGATCCATTACCGAATTAGCCCCTTGTCTTATAGCAACCAGCCGTACTCGCTGCATAGATTCTGGTCGGGATGCGATAAAAGTAGTTATATTAATAACGAAAAATAATTCTAATTCTAACTTTCGTTTCGATTCGTAAAACTGAAGATTACCAAATCTAATTAATCCATAATAAATCAGCCTTTCTTACCTAATACAATACTAAAACGGTAAAAATCCGTCGCGTAAATTCCTCCCAAAGAAAAGTCATAAGTCAAGGGGTTAATAAGTCATCCTTCGAAGAATGATCGATGATCTCACCAGGTGTCACTTCGATCCTCTCTTAATAAAAATGATCTAACACCATGGGAGGAGATGAAACGTTTCGTCAAAGCGTTCGTTATTTACCAGCAAGAATAACCATTTTACGTAAAATATCTCTTTCTCTCGATAAAACGATATTTAATCATCTGTGATATTAAACAGAGTCGCGGGGGAGATCGATGGGAATCCTTTTTAACCGGGCAGATGTCCCCGTAATTAAGCTGTCCTCCTGGAAATTGGAACCCCGTTCTCCTTATTAGCTCTTTTCGTCGCGTTATATCTCTTCTTCACCTTGTAACACTTGTACAAGCTTGTCGATATATCGAAGTCGACTTCAATCTCTCTCTCGTGAAATTACCTCTTTCCTACTTAATCACCTTTTCTTTTCTCCACGTACAATATCAGGCCATCTGCGATTTATCTTTCGTGGATTTACCTCGCCCGTACGAACGAGTCTAGTTTTTCTCGTTGTTTGTTCACAGATGAGAGGCAAATTCGTTGGTTCGATTTCTACTCGGACGTAGTTTACATGGATGGGGCAAACAGGAAAGGCTAAGAGAGCACTCGAAAGAATCTCGTCTCCCTGGTTCTCGGCCTGCTTCTTCGTCGAATCGCGTTCGTCGATCAGGGATTGGATTGATTTCGCCGTGGCCAAGCGTGAGTATCCTGTTGTTCAGTTGACTCGTCTCCGGGGACCGTATGGATTATAATGTATTCGTCGGTGGTGAAAGAGGTTTGCTTGGGTTAAAAAAAGAGAGGAAGCCTTGGGCGCAATTTTCGTATTATTTTTCGCTTTGTAGAATCACCTTTGAAATTTTCTAATTTTTGTGTAACTATGAATCGTTTTATAATTAATAAAATATTGAATTGTATTACGTTCTTTTTAATCTACTTGCCCGCGTTTAATCTCGTTCGAGCCTTAAAAGAGTATTCCTTGTTTGCCCAATGGAAGTTCCAAGAACGTGTAAAAAAATATGAACTTCCTTTTCGAGAATATTCTGCTCGATCGTATCAAATTCGAATAGTTCTTGATGTTGCAATTTTGTCAGAATTTTTACTCGAGATTTCTCCGATTTTCTCCCGAACGTTAGATAGATTTTTCACGTAGTCGTTGTTGAAGATTTTCCTTCTTCCCTGGAAAGACTTTCGAAAGGCGAACGAGACGTAACGAGACGCGATTTAAAGCGTTCCTAAAAATAACGGAAACGAAGGAAGTTCCCTAAGCTGCGGAGCTTAACTCAGACAGCATCAATCCAGAGTTTAGTTGCTAAGTCAGTGTTGCCCACAGCTGAAGCCCTCTAAGGATCCTCATTTCCTACGTGTCTCTAGAAATAAAGTAGTTAACACTGTTCATATTCCCACGTACATTCCACGTTGAACATGAAACCTTAATACCATTGAGAACGTATATTTTCGAATCGTTGAAACATCTAGTTAAATAATCGAGATAACGTGTAACCTATTGGACAAGTATCGACGAGGTTTCGGTGCAACATATTGTACAAACTAAGCGGATAGATAAAACATTAGTACTATAATATGGATAAAGATTATCAAGTTAGGCATCTGAATAAATAGACAAATTGAATGAATTTTTTTTTATTACGCACTATTCTGTCTTATCTTAAGATGAGAAACAGTAAGATTGAATCAGAAATTTTTAAAGAATACAAATTTCCTTCCTAGAAATTTACAAATTCAAACACCCGAGATTCTCAAGCTCGTTCTAGAAGAGCTTCGAGTCACAATTCAGTGTTTTTACGAACCCCCTCGATTCACGATCGTTACTAAACCTGAGAGAATCGTACCTCAGTAGATTAGTCAATCGAATCACAAATTTCCTTTCTAGAAATTCGTAAATTCAAACACCCGAGATTCTCAAGCTCGTTCTAGAGGAGCTTCGAGTCACAATTCAGTGTTTTTACGAACCCCCTCGATTCACGATCGTTCCTAAACCTGAGAGAATCGCACCTCGGTAGCTCACTCGATCGTATCACAAATTTCCTTCTGAAAACATCAAGTTCCTCAAGCATCCTTAGTCTCAGAAATTCTCAAATTTCAAAACCCCCAAGATTCTCAAGCTCGTTCTACGAATTAGCTTCGAGCCAGCCACAATTTCTACCGATTTCACAAAACTCCCCCGTGAATTGCAGCGATCGTTGCCGGGAGCGAGGATGGCAAGGAGCAGTGGCACTGCAAACGCAAACCGGCGATGCACCGATTGCACCGTCGTCGTTCATCGCGATGCCGCTGTCGCAGCTCGTAGTACGTTCGCTCTCGAGTCACGATCGATCGGAATCGGGTACGGTAGGAACGACCACGGCACTGCTACCTCTGGCTACACCGGCTACGCTGCCAATTTCGATCAGGGAGAGGGCACGGCCGATTAGAGTCGCCCCTTTCGATACAACTGCCGAGCGGCACGTGAGTCACGTAAGTTTCACCACCAAGTAGAACTGATGTCTTTTCTTCTTCTTCTCCTTTGTTTTTCCATTCTTTTTTTCTCTTTTTTTTTCTTTTTTTTCGTAACCATTGTCGAGTACGCGAGATTGATTTTTCTTTTTGAAGTCCGAGAGTGTGCGTTGTCGATAGAAGGTATCGAATGACCCCATTTTTCACCAGACTTCATTCGGCTTTTGTTTTAAGGTTAAGGAATCTTTTTTTTTCTTTTGTTCAACATTGTTTTATACTCAAGTTAAGCATTGTAGTTTTTTGATTATTGATGAAATGTGTTAGGGGAATTGTGGAAACTTTTTATCTGGAAGATTCTTGGAAAATTCGTGAGTTGGGGTTAGGTTAGGTTCGTGACAACTTCAGCAGGTTTTTTTTCGGATGTTTTTGAGAAAATTAGTAACTCGGTATTAGGTCACGTTTAAAATTAGCGATTCGTTAGAAGAGGTGGCCGTTCCTTTCATCATTTACTTTTCACTGTATCACTGGAGACACATTGTGTATAAATAAAATACAGATGAAAGATTGATAAATCTGGCTTTCACTTATTTCCAAGTTTTACATTCGCACGATGTATTTTCCATATGATAAGTAGTTTCTTTTCTTCTTTTTTTTTTTTTCTTCACTTAAAACAAGCAAGGTGCTTCGTCGTACAAAAGCGCGTGTACGAGTAATTTCCTTGAAAGAAAGAATAAACAAGTAAAAAATTACTTCTTTCTTTTTTTTACTAGTGGTGTAAAAAATTAGTATCGATAGCATGACACTGTTGTTTGACCGTGAAAAAAAAAAAGAAGAGAGAAAACACATAACGACTGTAAAGAAAGCGAATATTGATTTTCGCGAAGGTTTAGCGATAAACCTGTCGCCGTTTCGGTGAAAACGCCGCGTTAACCATCGGTCAAATTAGACTCTAGTCGCTCGGTTATTGGTTTTATCGCTAAGTACTGGAACTTTTTTCGATTTGTGTTCCGCGAACCATGCACGCGTGTTACGTTTCGTTTGTTACACAATAAACGAGCGACACGTGCATTGTTGCCTGATGCACGACAATAAACTAATTATCACCTTTCCGTGTTATGCTCCGCGATAAAAGAAAGAATACTCTTGAAAAGAACAAAAAACGAAAAAATATGAAAAAATAAAACCTGAGAAAATTCAATCAACGTGAATTTTTTCATACCACAATCATATCCAATTTTCATCGTGAGAAATACATTTTACACGCATGATGTACTTTAATCTTCTTGGAGATGAATTTTTGAAAGTCAGAAAAAACAATGATTGAACTTCTTGTTTAGTTATATTTTATTCAGCTTAATCCATGGGAATGGAACCAAGAGAAGGGAACGCACTAGGGGAAAAAAGAAGAATTAAAAATATTTCCACTATCGTCGTACACTTCAATTGTATTATTTATTTCACCGAAATTCTGGATAAATAACAAGCTTTAAATATTGTATAAATTAATTTATAGAAAAATAAAGGAATTAAAAGTCACTAGAATATTCGAATATTAAAAGAATTACCAAGATTATGGAATAAAGTATCGTAAAGTTGGCGGAATGAAATTAAAAATCTGGAATAATATAGTGAAAGAAAACGATGATTTCCCGGAGGAAACGCAGGTGCCATTATTAGTCATAGCTGCACAATGCGACACTGACTGGTCCAATCAGATGAATCTCCCCAAGAAATGACGCAACTTGGACATCATCGGTATTGGCACCCGTGATGTTCGCCAATCTCGATTTACCCTCGCATAAATCTCAAGATTAACGTCTGAGCCCGAGATTAAAGAGTTCCCTATTATCTTTGAACGGTGAAGTTTTCATCCGCAATTAGAAGGGCTCGAAGTTTTGGCTAACGCGTAGAACGAAGTCGGTGTTATTATGTAACAAACCGCCTACTGACGTAACGATAGTGAAAAAATGCGCGATGAATTCTTATCAGTTGTTTGCTGCGTCGTCGCGTATCGTTGCATACTAATCGTTACACACCAAGAAGAATCTCACGAATTCTTTTTTTCATTCCTTTGTGTTGGTAGTACAATTGAATCGCATCGTTACCGGTTTTTCTATCAAACGTTTTCAATTCATTTCGAATTTTTCGATTGTTCGAAGAATTAAGAAAGGTTTCTAGAATTTTGGAGATTAGATAAGACGAGGTTTCTTGCTAAATCTGATAAATTCGTGGAAACTACAGCATTTTAAGAAGTCAGCGAGGGATATGTTCAAGTGGCATGAGTAATTGGGTTCTTGTAGGTTGTCCGACAAAGTCAGCGTAAACACGAAATTGTGAGTCATATTGATACTAAAAAGGAGGGTATTTACCGTGTATTTTTATTTTATTTTATTATCTTCCTTATATATTTTCCTTCCCCTTTTTTCATTCCTTTAATTAATAACTGCTCATTTTTGTGTGATATTACTATGTCACGTATGTAAGGGTGGTTTACAAGTCACGTCACCGTTTAAAAATTCGATTATTTTCATACGTTGAATTTTTCCACGATAAATTTACAAGGAACAAACTTTCGAAATCTGAAACAAACATTTTTAAACGGTGACTTATGTGTCACCCTATACATAATCCTACTAAATAGCGATAAAACTTCTCTGAAAACATTCAGTTAGTGAAAATTAACAAACCGCTCTACTTATAAATAAAATTAAAAAAGTTATAAATTGAAAAAAAAAGTAGAAACTTTACAACCTTGAGAAATTCTAATTAAACGCTACACGTATAGAAACTGCACACTCTCACTGCCGCAAAAGTGAAGCAATGTCTCTCTCTCTCTCACACAAACACACACAGACACACACAAGTGACCCACTCGATTTAACCCCTTCCGGTTCCATGTCCCTTCCTGTTGACCTATCAACTCGCATTAGTTTTTTCTTTTTTTTCCCCTAACCTACGACATAGAAACTATGCGAAGGCCTTGACATATTCGGTTGGCATATTGCTCGCTCTTACACGCGCGAACGCTTAAATAGTGCAAACGACGAATTATCGACCACATCGCGACCGTTTTCACGTGTGTGTGTGTTTTGTTGTGTGGCAGACGTTAGCTTCCCAACAAAGAGCTCCACATTGAAGCGAAAACTTTCGTCACGGCAGGGGGGCCAATCATCGATGAAACAGCGCGTGGTTGGATGTTAATCAATAAGAATCTTTTTTTTTTCCGCGGTTGGTACACCTGAGGTAATGCGCGGGAAATGGATCCTCGGCAAATCGATGACGAGAGAGAGAGGCAGGGAACGAGTAATTAGGGGTATCGAAATGACGGGACATGGAGGGATTCGCGGCTCTATGATCGGATTTGTTCGATTTAGATGGAGTAAGAGGTTTTTCACGGCGAGGGTTGGAAGGTTTAAAGACGTTTGATTGGATCAGGGTATCGGGCGAATAAGTTGTAGAGTTAAAGAGATCGCGTTTGGTAAGGGATGATTGGTGTGATGCTATTATAACAGGAATGAGAAAGTTGGTGGAAAGTAAAAGCTTTTTCTTTTAGGGCTTTCTGTGGAATTGCACGGAATTCTGATTTATCAAAAATTGGGGTTTGTTTAATGGAGTTTTACGGTGAATTAGGTTTCTGAGATATTGAGGTTAGGAATGAAATTGTCTGTGAACGTGTACAAGAGTGAAAGGAGTTAATGTTGAATCACTAATTTTAGGAACATTCTAATGGATATAATCTGAAATGATGCACTTGAAAGAATTCCTTAATGACTTTCAATTGAAGTTAAGAATTATTAACAAAGTAAGCAGTAATTAGCGAATATTGCAGTTAAATGTTTCTTTATTTACAAAATTTTCATACATGCACTTTCGATTTAATTGAGACGATTTGCAAAATTAATTAGCTTAAATTAGTCGGCGTGTTCTGTTGTTCATTTTCGATTCAACCGGCGGCTCTCTCTGTGTTCACAGAAATCAAGAGGACGAGCGCAACTCGCAGAATGGACAAGTGCGGGGTCTACTTGTCTGAAACTTTCAGCAATTAACACAGACCAAAATTGATTTAACAAGCACACCGATACACTTTGTCATCAACAAGAACTAATTGACGGTCGTTGAAACTAAGTAAACCGAGGAAACCATTCTACGAACCTTTTCTTCCACATTTCCACCGAGCATTTTTCATTAACCGCTTAAAATCTCGTCCGTTAAAAACGTTCAAGCTGTTACTTTAATATTTGCATCTTTATAATACGTACTATAAAATAATTCACCGATATCTCTACTTTCGTACAATCAACATTTTAACTGTCACACAAAATTTTTGTTTACTTCTCACTGCGCCGCCATACTGTTCCCATGTGACCGCGCGTCGTTTCCCATAACCCTGTGCGGCGCCATGTAAAAATGATGCGCGAGCATACATAACCTAACATGGTAGTAAACGTGTTAAATATCAGCGTGCAGCTGTTTGACCTGATTTCAAGGTTTCACCGGAGGAATACTTCAAGTTTGCATTGAACGCGTTTGCATAGAGTGCGTTAACGAGGAACTATGCGGCAATATTTCACCGATCGTCGTGAACGAGAGTAGGCTCTAAAGCCCTGGACAAAGCAATATGTGCAGTGAAACACGTGTGCACGCACGATCAAACGAGTGTGTTTCTCTAATATTTTTATTTCACCCCGGAGTCATACCGGTTTAGCCGTTTTATGGCATGAAGAGGCGTCTTAATCGAGCAGCAGTTCACGTTGGGAGGCCGGGACCTAAGTATAGACGCGAATACTTATTTTATGTATAAATCGATTTTCTCTACCTCTAACGAGCTATATTTAGGTCCGCCTTTCCTCTCTTCTGCTTCGATCTACCCTTTATCTTAACAAGTCGACGTAGAAAGTTTTGACGAACAGTGCAACACGCGATCATACCGTAGGAAAATACGTTTCAAACGTTGTATCATGATCGAGAAAAATTGGGTAACGAAGAAAACGTGTGTTGTGAACTGGACAAAAATGCACACACAACGATCGTAACTTAATGATATACATATATACATCAAAGGATGTATTTCGTTGCATTATAGATGAAACGAATGCTAAATAAGTGTACTGCGGTATTGGACGTTTGATGTATGGATTAAGGAACTGGTCTTTGGACAGATATACGGGGTGTTCAAGCAATGTCGTGCCAAATTTTCGGAACAAACAGTCCGTTCAAGTAAACAAGACGCATTTAATTAACTTACAGTCCAAAAATCTTTGTGAATTATTGTTAAGGTATTTTTTATGAGGTCAATTGAGAAGTGTTTACGTACGGTGTATCCATTTATAGGAAAATTAAAATAATTTTGTTTCTGTAAACAAATATAGAAAGTAAATAATATTCTTAATCGTTTAAATAGTTACAATGTATCCCCAAAATTTGGCACAGCATTTTGAAACATCTGGTATATACATAACACACTATTCAACAGAAAAAGCGCTGACCTAACCTCTCACCATTTAAAACGAATAGCTAAAGCCAAACGTCTACTTAAAAAACATGTAATATACTTAAAAAAAAAAATCACTCCAATCATCCGAATTACCATCCTCCATCGTTCAAAGATTTTTTTCTAGAAACGCCACTGAAACTCGAACAAAACGAGGTCCACTCTTGCACGTGGACAACTCGGCGGATTCGACATTGCTGGTGATATGAATCGAATATGCATCAGAAGAGGGGAAGAAAGAAAAAGAAACGAAGAGGAGAAAGAGAGAAAGAAATGTGCACGCTCTCGATGCCAGTAAGCTGGAATTCGAATTCATCGGCCACCGATGGAGAAAGATGCGCGGATAGTTTCCACGGATGGCGACGAAGTGACTGCGTTCCATGGACGTCCACATCTGCCAACCGAGGAGGGCGTATTGCCAATTCGTTTCGTTGGGTGTTTTTGCGTGTGCATTGTGCCAACTGGGCCAAGGGTCGTACTGGACGTCTAGAGGGGAAACGAGAAGACAGAAAGAGGAAAGTTTTCTGTTTTCTCCATTTTTTCCCCTCCCACTTTCGCGTCACCGCTCCTTTCGCCTATACTGAATCACGTTAGGAAACGCATTGTGTTTCTCCCGTTCGTCACGTGGTGCCGCGGATGCATTTATGACCAAGGATGAAACGTTGTAGCAAGGCAGCGCATGATCTAGCCATTCTTAAAATAAACGTTTCCGTCTGTTTGTTCACGAGAAATTTCGACAGATAGGTTGGTAGTATATTATTTTTAATGATCGGTCCACGTGCAACGTGGGAGTAATATTTAGGGATGTAAATGATTCTTAGATGAAGAGGATTTTCGTTGTAGCGCCAGGAAAATATGCTTTTATCACGACGAGAATTTATTGCTGAAAGAAACCGTGGGCAGTGAAGATATTGGATCGCAAGAGGATTTTAGAGAGTTTCATTGCACTCCAGCGGTGTTTCTAAAGCAGCTTCGACGAAATTTATTTGTACAATTTCTATGTACCCTTGTTACAATAAGTGCAGAGACTCATTGTATTAAACCGTGACCAGGGTTTATATAAATATTCATGCTCGTATCGGTCACGTATTAATACATTCATTACATCAGGATGTAACAGAATGGGTTACGCTAGTTATTTATTTTCACACGGTAACAAGTTTGTATCTTTTTTTTTATTTTCAATAAAAACAAAGAAAGAACAACGGTTAAAATATTTATTAATTGTATACAGTCTTCAGGAGACGACAGAATTTCTTTATGTTACATTTACTCACTTCTACAGTGAGAAAAATTCTACAAAACGTGTAACAGGAGATTTTTTTTTATCAATCACGAATTGGAAAGAAACGACAAAACAAAGGACACTATCTTAAGAATCACAAGACGTCACTTTTTTCTGGAATTCTTCTGTTTGCTCTCTCGTCCCTTGAAAATGGCCATATCGATGACATTCGTAGGCCCATTGTTCCACATGGACGTAGAGATGGTCTCTGTCGGTTCGACAGCAGAAGGAAGTAGATGAGGACCAAGGAGAAAATAGATCTGCTCTATCCATGTGGGCAGAGATAAACCAGCCACGCAACACTGCCACAATGGCAAGCCTAGATGGACCAGCATCATGCGAAAATATACGGTAAAGTTATCCGCTAAGTGGCACCATCGATTAACATCCTCTCGATGCAACCAGAGCGTCGGCGGCTCCACTTCCGGTTTCATGCGGTACACCAGATAGACCTTCGATAATCCACTATCTGGAAAACATCTCGCTATCTCGAACATCTTGCAACCATGACCATTATCTAACAGATCAGGTGGAAGATGACTATTTTCGGGATCAGTTACAGCCACACCACCGGAAGTAACTTCAGAATCGAACTTATGGCTGTCGATGTGAAATTCCTGCTTGGAGAAATCGCCAGTCTGATGATTGTTTGAAAATCTCTTTAACGACGCTAGAGTACCAATTTCCATCCGTCCAACAGGAAACTCTTCACCTGTGTACGAGCAACAATGAGTAATTCTGTTGGTTTATAATTTAATTGCACTCTCGTGTGTATAATCGGTTAGAAAATTGATCGGCTAATTGTACGGAGTGAAATGATAATTCGCTTGTTTCTGGTTTTAAGGGAGCGCGATGGAAAAAGAGGAGCCCTTTGAAATAAGGCATTAATTATTTCACACAATTAAGTAACCTGTTACATACTGTTGTGTTATTCTTTATCATCGCAGGATCTCCCCTCCTGCGATCTTTAAACGATAAACGATTTATCTACGTGCAGAAGAATTCCCACGCGGAGATAATCTCTGTTTAAATTACGATTCCCATAGAAATAAGTAAGGAAGCAAAGGGGGAGATATGCCGCAGTGGTTCAGTAGAACCGGAAATAGATAGGTATCAGGTAATCATTAATAATATACAAGGACCAGTGAAGATTATGGAAATAATTGTCAGAAGAGAGGGGTTTTACCTGCTATCTCGAGATTCCACTGTAGCAGAAAGCCATCGATAGATGCATAGAAGTTCCTCACATCCTCCGGAAGTGCGCAGCAGTGTCGTTGTTCCCAACTGGTGATGGCCGTGTTCTCACATCCGTTTCTACGCTCGACTCGTACATTTTTTACATACGGAAAGCTCTCGAGGATCTTCACCACGCCCAACGTGAGATTCTCGTAAAAAGAATCCTCGGTCACGATATCGACGAAAAACGACATCGTTTTATGTATCTTTCAGGGATCGTGTTACTCGGAAGCGGGGCAACCTTGATGGAATATCTCTCAAGCTTTATTTTCTCCTTCGACGAATTTCATTGATATTCAATAATAAAAAAAAAAGAAGATAAGACAGTACACTCTTTTTAAAATAAAATAATAATAATTTATAACCATTCGTAGTTTTCACTGTGGAGATTTTTCTTTTTAGTAGTCAATATTTCTTTTGATGATTACAGAGAAACGAGAAACGTGTGAAATTATGCAACGACGATGTACGATTGTTTGTCAAATAAGAGTTAAATATTCTCGAAGAAAAAAAGTGGAGAGACTTGATAATTTTATAAATTCTATTTCACTATTTCCAATATCTCTCCCTCGAGAGAGAGTTTCGTGTGCCTCCGATAATTATCTCTCTCTCCTTTCGTTTTTCCACTGCTATTATTTATATTAATTCTCTCGACGTGAATCTTCCACGAGAGCTGAATCTCGGAGCTTCTAAATCGCTCGTAAATGTCCAGAGAGAGAATCGAGAACAATCGTGCTGATGAATCGTACTAGCCTGGTCCCCGTTGTTGATCATCGTCATGGTGACCGAACACGAACGCGAACCAGCATATCCACTTTTCCCGTATTCAAACAATTCCTGACAGAGAGAGAGGGGTAGTATCGAACGCTTGCGCAGGTTTACGTTGTGCACGACAGGTGTGGGAGTGAGAGAGAGAGAGAGAGAGAGAGAGAGAGAGAGAGAGAGGGGGGGATGGAGGAGGGAGAGCACACAGGTAGCATAATTATTATGCACGCACGAGGGAGGTTCCTTTCAGAAGTTACCACCCTGCGTACACCCTTCTTCACTTTCTACCCCCTATTCAATCGAAATCGTCGTGTATGATTTTTAACGTGTGCATTATTAACCATGAACAAAAAGGGGAACAGCAGCTGCAGCTGGCAGTCCTAGGGTCGAGTTTGTGAAAACGTGTTAGATATCTGGAATTAAAAATATCAACCCATCTGTTTCACATATTACATTCCTGGAACTTCGTTCCTCACCCTCTTTTTTTCTTTTTCAAACAAGTACTTTCTCTTGGAGCAATTTGTAAAATTATTGTTTTCCGAATAATTTGGAAATATTTGAAAATTTGCGGAGGAAGCTTTTCGAAGAGTGATTTTCTATAATGTAGAATTTGGAATATTCTGAGAAATTGAAAATGTTCCGTTGAAAGGAGAGAATTTGAAATGGTAGAAAATTTGTGTTTTATTGGAAAATTCAAGGTTGTTGAAATATTCTAAAATTTTTGTTTGTTACTCGTTTTGGAATGGACGTAATTTTGGTTTTTTTCTTCTAATTATTTCACAGGAGATATTCCTGCCCCTGTGCACCCTAGGTGTGTTGATCGTGGTAAAGGTATTGCCACCGAATCCAAACTACCCCGCAATGACAACACAGAGACAGGAGGGTGGTATATTCGAAACATTCAACGGCTACAGGAACAACACGATAGCCGTTGTTCCAAACTCGACTGAAACTTTGGTACGTGTTCCTGTCAGTTAACACTTTTGTCCATAGTATGTACATCCTGGTGTATAATACAGGAGAAACATGGGACCAGTATCTTTAGCGTGTATTATTCTCGTTTCAGACATTTTTAAACTCAATGAATGCCCTGTGGTTATCAATGTGGGATTTTCCTGGCAAGCTTCCCTTGAATTTCATGGTATTCGACACGAAGGATGATATGCAAGCAGCGTATTGGAGAGACCCATACAGCATACCCTTAGCAGTAATCTTCGAGAATTCTCAACCTATATCTCAACGTCTTCTGTAAGACATTAAAACACCTTTCGTTTAATTGAAATATACCAGCTTGGATAGCGAGGATAGTTCAATTTGTAACATTTGTTGCTTTAGGTATGAGATAAGAACTAATCCTTCATACACGAATCCACCGTCGCCGACTGAATTGTATTCCGCCCCAGTTACTTGCCGAAAGGACACCAGCCACTGGATGGGTGGCGTATTGTCGATAGAGACTGGAGGATCGTGTCCTGTGAATAATTATTTACACTCTGGTTTCCTGGCGTTGCAAATGATAATAGATACCACGAAGATAAGAGTATGTGCTTGGTGTTTGATTTCGATCAATCTGAGATATAATATTTGAGAGTATATTCTACTGATTTAATTCTGCATATTGATCATTTTTGCAGCTGGACACAGGGAATAAAGACGTAACTATGCCGGATATTAGGCTGGAAATGTTCCCCAAGGAAGCTTTTACCGCAGGTAAAAAGCTTTAGAGAGCTTTAAGAATTGTGGGCGATGGTATTTTGTAATAGCATTAATTCATGTATCTCTGCACGTTGAATGACGAAAAACGAATCTCCTAACTAACATTAGAAGGAATTAATATATTAGACTAATAATTATAGAAACAAAGAAAAAAAACGAAGAAGATACTTTTGGTTCAGAAATAAAATTTATACTCAGTTTTTTCTTTTTGCTTTTTGGACATATTTCTTAAGGATATACTTTTATTTAGACTGGATGCTGGCCTTTAGAGTTGTTATACCTCTCTTTATGGTTCTGGCTCTTTCGCAATTCGTGACTTACCTTCTTATCCTGATTGTCGGGGAAAAGGAGAAACAGATCAAGGAGGGAATGAAGATAATGGGCCTAAAAGATTCTGTTTTCTGGTAGGTTAATCCGATGTAGGAATCAACTAACAAAATTCGGCTTTACACCTCAAATATTAATGCATGTTTAACGACCTGTACCTTGCATGAACAAAAAATATGTAAAAACAAAAAGGTAAAAGTTTGCTTGGACGAATTTTAAATATGAAAAAAAAAAAATAAATAAAAGATATAAATGTTTTCGTTTCAGGTTATCATGGTTCATTATCTACAGTGTCTTTGTCTTGTTACTCTCTGCCGTCGGAGTAATATTACTTTTTACGCTACAAATGTTTCAGCACACACACTTTTTACCGATATTCCTTTTAGTAGTGCTCTACAGTTTCTCCATAATCATGTTCGCTTTTATGGTAACACCTTTCTTCAACAAGTCGCGTGTAAGCATTCTATCAATACCTTTGTATTATTACTATGTAACTGTTACATTAAAATAATTGTAATTTTTTTTCTCAGACTGCCGGTGTACTTGGCAATTTTGCAGTGACGATACTAAGCTTGATGTACTTTATTCAAGTGTTTGTGAAGGACTCTAGTTCAATCTCGTTTTGGGTGGTCTCCCTTCTTAGCCCAACAGGCGTTGCTTTGGCCATGGACAAGGTTTGCAATCAAGAAATATCATGTGCAAACGAAAAAAGGGGATTCTATGATTAATAAAACTTCTACATTTATTTACAGGCTCTTGTGTTAGATCTACAAGGAGAGGGAGTTAATTTCGACAATCTTTGGTCAGGTCCTGGTATACCTTTCGGAGGAAGTCTTATTATGATGACTTTAGACATCATTCTCTACGCGTGTTTAGCCTACTATTTCGACTCTGTCATACCAAGTATGTCTCATAAATTTTTATCATTTCATTCGTTAAATTATTGATCAATTAATCCAATGATTAAATATTAAACGTTCAATTTAGGTGAGTACGGAACGAAAAGATCCGCCTGGTTTTGCTTCATGCCAAGATTCTGGTGCCAGAGGAAAACTCCACGAGTAAGTTTAATTATCAATAATAACAAAATGTTGAATGCGAAGGAAAATAGAAAAAATGAATTCACAGTCGTATTTACAGGTACCGTCATCGAATGGTGAATCGAACTCTTTCATTCCTGGCGAAGAGACCAACCGTGACATCGAACCGGTAGTACGTGAGATGAAGGGGCGTGAAGCAATCAGGATAGTCGATCTTTACAAGTCCTATCAGAAGTGTCGTAAAGCAGAAATTAAAGCTGTGAATGGCATCAATCTGACAATTTACGAAGGCCAGATCACGGCGATACTTGGACACAACGGAGCTGGCAAAACGAGTCTCTTCAACATACTGACTGGCTTAACTGCACCTACAGCTGGGACTGCCTTGATATTTGGTTACGACGTTAGAGATTCCAATGATATGCAGACGATTAGAAGCATGACTGGCGTATGTCCACAACACGATATTCTCTTTGATCTCTTGACACCTCGAGAACACCTTGAGTTTTTCGCCGCTGTCCGGGGTATTCCAAGATCAATGATGGAACAAGAGGTACGTTTGAGCTTCTTACACCTGTGGTGGTATCTCTCTTCCTAACCCTTTCCTCTTTCCACTAACACACTGTCGTAAATCATAAATTACATGAAGACATCTTAGATGAATCTAATAAGTAACATGTGTATGATTAATTTCAGGTGAAGAAAACACTGAAAGATATCGATCTAACAGAGAAGGCAGATACTTTCGCGAAATATTTAAGCGGTGGACAAAAAAGGAAGCTGTCCGTAGGAATCGCCATTATCGGTGATCCAAAAATTATTATCCTTGACGAACCTACGGCTGGAGTGGATCCTTACTCCAGGAGGCAGATGTGGTCTTTCTTGCAATCTAGACGTCACGGGAAAGTGATTCTATTGACGACCCATTTTATGGACGAGGCGGACATATTAGCGGATAGGAAAGCGGTTATCAGTAAAGGAAGGTTGAGATGCTGTGGTAGTTCTCTATTCTTAAAAAATAAATTCGGCATTGGATATCATTTAACGTACGTTGAATAGTTGTTAAATAATACAATTCTACGATAAAGTGTATCTAGTAAAATTTGTCAATATATTTAACAGGTTGGTGCTCGAAGGAAATGCAAGAGAACATGCTATTACCAGATTGGTAACATCTCATGTCTCGAAGGCGGAAAAAGCTAGACGACATGGACGTGAATTAAGCTTCATTTTACCACACAACTCCGTGGAAAGTTTTGCACCACTTTTCTCAGCTATAGAACACGAGGTTAAGACTCGATCGAGTAGATTGGGAATCAGTAGTTACGGAGTATCGATGACTACTTTAGAAGAAGTATTTCTGCATCTAGAAAAGGATGAAGGTCCTGAGTGTACAATGGACAATTTATCAAAAAAGATGGTACGGAATCGTGCATTAAGCAGATCGTTATCCTTACAATCTAAAAGCACCTCTTATCAGAGTTTGCAGAACGAAGGTGTTACTGTTCAGAATGATGGCCAAGCAAAAGGTACGTTTGTTTTAATACGTATAAAGTATCATTAAATTTACAGATTGTGAATATCATTATATCTTCCTGCAGGTGCAGGAGATTTACCGGATGGCATTCATAATGATAGAAACCCTCCTGTTCTCGGCCTCGGATTGGACCCCATAAAAATTCGGCCTAATTTCATTCAAATCTTGTACGCTATGCTTCGCCTAAGGATACTCAGGCTCTTTAGGAACATCCAGTTATTGTGCTTCACTATCGTCGCGCCTCTTTTTCTGGTAGTTCTTGGCCTTCATTTAAATAGCATTCAAACACTTGAGATCAAAATGCAGTCACTTAAATTGAATACTGGTACGTTTTAATAAAACAATTATATTTTTATGAATTTATAAAATAATTTCTACTATTGTTCTTTTCTTTCTTGTTTTACAGATACATATGGGAACGTGACCAAAATTTTATATGCAAATAACACCGACCACGATATCACAGATTTAATCGACGGAATAAGTCACGATGTAAAGTATGTTGAAGAATACTATGGGAATTTTGCAAATTTACTAAAGATCGCACCGCACATGGCCGCTTTCAATATCAACGAGTATGGCCTGCCAAAGCTCAATTTGATTGTCGCTTATAACGACACCATGCAACATTCCCTACCGATTTTAATAAATTTGTTATCCAACACCTATCACAGGTCGGTGGTCATTTAGAAGCGTATCATAGATTCAGGTAACTCTATATAAAATTAACTTATTTACTTGTGATTAGATTGATCTCGGATAAAAATGATCTGAATCCAATCGAGGTTAAGACACACCCTTTCCAACAAACTTCCCAACCACAGGAATTCAATATCGGTACAGCGAGTTCTGCTGTGTTCATTGGAATGAATTTTGTATTGTTACCAATAACTTTAGTTGTAGACATGGTCTACGATCGTGAAGTAAGACATCTTTTTTCCCTTATCATTCGTATTTTCAAAGCATTACCGTATTCACCTTACTATAAAAATTGTGTCTTTAGATAAAAGCGAAGAATCAGCTTCGTGTCAATGGTTTGACATTTTCTATGTACTTCCTGACATACTTTATCGTACTTGTCGGCCTGTTGACGTTCATATGTTTATGTATTCTTGGCATCATATTTCTCTTTGACGTGCCTTCGCTTCAAGAAATACCAGCACTCATCACTCTTGGTGGTCTTTTGATGCTTTATTGTCCGGCATCAATTCTCTTCTCGACGTGTTTGAGTTACATCTTTGATAAAATGGATTCTGCCCAGAGTATTTTACCTAACATTGCATACTTCTTCGGGCTCATACCGTTTATATTGGTCACAATTCTCGATATGCTGGGTCTCAGTAAGCTACACTTGAACTTTAACTCTTTGAAGATTAAATTTTTATTTCTAATTTTTATCAAAAATCGTACTAACGTTAATTGATGAATATTTCAGGTGGAACAGCAGCGTTCGTTTTACACGTAATCTTTTCTTTACTGAACACGTTGTATGTACCATACGCTGCAGTGTATTACGTAGAAAGAGTTCATCTGATGTGCTCTATCAATGCTGCTTGTCATCATTTGACCATGTCGGATTATTTAACCACGGAGATCATTTTAATGGCCTTTGGCGTGCTTTTGCACTGCCCAGTGTGGTTCTTTGTGCTTTTGCTACTTGACATCAAAAAGAGCGGCGGCAACGTCAGTGATATATTCAAGCATTTTCTGGTTGGTGTATAAAATTGGTTGGTGTTTAAATTATAAAACGATCTTATATTAAAAGTATTTTTTCATTTCCGTAGCGTAATGGGGGTTCTATCGGTGAAGAAATTATGGAGAATTCTGACATTGGAGAACACGAAGATGGGGACGTTAAAGCGGAAAGACAGAAAGTTTTTAACCTTATTACTTCGTCATCTGTTCAAGAACCACCTGTAGTTTTAGTACAGGTATTTATCTTTATTGTGTTAATATTAATTTTATTATCAAAAAATTTTGTCATTCACAATTAAAATCACACGTTCGTTAGAACTTGAGGAAGGAGTACCGACAAAAGGAGTCAGGATCGTGTAGCTGCTGCTCGAAACAAGACGAAGAAGCTAGTCAAATACAACGAAAAGTCGCTGTAAGAAATCTGTCGTTAGCTGTCGAGCCAGGGGAGGTGTTTGGTTTATTGGGCCATAATGGTGCCGGCAAAACGACAACGATGAAAATTGTCATAGCAGAAGAAGCAGCCACTCGAGGCAGAGTGCAAATCGGTGGTTATAATATTAATTCCAACATGAACGGAGCTTTCAGACAGATGGGATACTGTCCTCAACATGACGCTCAGTGGAAGAATATCACTGTTAGGGAACATTTAGAATGTTACGCTGCGATTCGTGGTGTACCATGGGGAGATATCGGCAGGTGATTAATTTGTGTCATTGCAACATTTATCAAATTAAAAAAAAAAATACTCAGCCACAAAAGTAAATTAAATTTTGTACTGCAGAATTGTAGATTTGTATCTTACTGGTTTGCAAATTCACGAACACGCCGACAAACAGACCCAAGAGTGTTCAGGTGGAACTAGGAGGAAACTTAGTTTTGCTATGGCAATGATCGGAGGTCCAAAAGTTGTTTTAATGGACGAACCTAGTACTGGTATGGATCCTAGGTCGAAGAGGTTTTTGTGGGATACAATTCTTGCCAGTTTTCAGGTGAGTTTCTTCATAAATAAACTTTTCTTCATTTTTGAAAATAAGCAGTCGGTAGATAGTATTTCTTCATTGATAAATTTTTTGTAACAGGGTGGTAGAGGAGCGATTTTAACCACTCATTCAATGGAGGAAGCCGATGCTCTGTGTTCTCGAGTGGGTATAATGGTGAAAGGAGAATTAAGGTGTATCGGTTCTACCCAACACCTGAAGAACTTATACGGTGCAGGATATACCCTCGAAATGAAACTCTTAGGCGGTGACTGTACACCAACAACACCTTCCGGTGATAGGATCTCAAGTCTGAAAGAATTTGTTTCCAGTCTCTTTCCAGATGCAACACTCGAAGAAAGTTTTGCTGACAGATTAGTGTTTGCTGTTCCCCAACATGCAGTTAACTCGCTGGCCGAGTGTTTTATACAATTGGAGAAAGGTAAATATTAAAAATATGATTACACTGTCGTGGAATACTGATATAATTGAAACTTCATTTCTCTAGCCAAACTCGAGTTGGATATCGAAGAGTACAGCTTCAGCCAAACCACTTTGGAACAGGTTTTCCTTAAATTTTCCCACTACGATGAATCTAATTCGGGAGAATGATGACTCATAAAAATGAGTGTGTTTATTTCTACGTGTTATATAGTGAAGTACTCATGGAACTGCTCAATTTGTGCAAAAAGTGTAAAAAGAGTTATTCTTATCGGGGGGAAGTGATTTGTTCTTCAGTGTTCCCACATAAAATACTATCGAGAATCACGAAGACGAAAACGATGTCTGCATTCTAAATACCAAGAACATTTTAATAGCTATGAAAAGATTTCATACTGTCACACGATGCAGATCTCGAAAATATACAAAAACTCTGTTCTGACCCTTGACGATTCTGTAAGTGAAACAAGTCGTATTTCTACGGTATACATCGATCGACCTAATCGCAAAAAGAAATTAGATGATATTTTTTTGTGCCGGTGTTCCGTACTGTTATGTTCGCCAGAATTAACAGTGACTAACTGGAGTGATTATTGTGAGATAAAAAAATGGACATATGTGTAAAATTTAATTGAGCTGTAAATAGTGGAAACTGTGAACGATTTATTCGATTGTCAGTAAAAAGAAGCGGTAATAATACTATTTAACAGTACTATTCATAATTTTGAAATTATATTGTAATTTAGTCTATTATTCGATTCCTACGAATAGGTCTCACAATTAATATTGCTGTGGAATTGGAACATTATTATCATCATTATAAGTATAATATATTAAACATGATTAACGGGGAAGAAAATAAGGATCTAAGGATCGATATTAAATTCTTTTTAAACGCAGTAAATTCAATGAATTACCTATTTACATTGATAAACGTAGGAATTCAACCTGTACATTTAGTGATATTTACGAATTGCTCGTGATTATTTCGAGCGCTGTTTAAAAAGAAGAATGGCACCGTTGCTCAGAAAGGGTACTATTATATCGAGAAGAGCAACATAATATACAATTGGGCGACTTAATTTGTGCATATAACGTAGTGCGTAGTACGTATTTATAAGTATTTCTCCAGCTCGCTTGTGGTCTTTACCGAAGCCTTTTGAATAATGAAAAAGACATGATAGGTTGTTAATCTTGCCTCAGTAGCACATAAGACGATAATAATTTAAAATGAGACTTCTGTGGCAGAAGCAATCGAAGCAGGATACGACAACTTGAATTCAGTAAAAAATAATCTACAGGGAACTTCTAATAGTCCATGAATACTTGAATAACTTATATACAAATTTTATTACTTTACAATTGTTTACAAATATCTTTCATTTTCTTCTTAGCATTACAATTTAGTCGTTAATTTTCGAATATTTTCATTTCTCTTAAGAACGCTTTATTTGTGCTGAAAAATAACTAGTTTAGTAAAAACACGTGTTAAAACTGAAGTGAGAGTGATACTAATAAAAAGAATAATTTTTTTATTATATTAGGTAAAGCCACCTTAAATTAAACAGTTTTTAAAAATGGACTTTATAAGTAGATGTAAAAAAGGCTAGCTATCTTACTTTATAAAAAAAAAAAAAGAAAAAAAAACAGGTTTCAAGCATAACTAAGAGGGGCTCATATATATTAAAAGAGATTCTCATTGAACAGGTAAAAAGAAAAGTCTAAAAACACAGACTTAGTTGAAGTGTTAGAAAAAAATACAGGCTCTCAAGATTTTTCCTTACAAAGGAAAAGATTTGTTCTTTTTTTCTAGATATCCATGTGCGTCCGTTGGATCTTTCAAGATGAAAATTCGGAAAAATCGAACGAAAGAAACAGTAGGGGCACTGTTTGGAGGACTGAATGAAATATTTTGTAGATTATAGTGCATAGGTAGTCAAAAATTTCATTGTAAGGGAGGTATTGATTTTTGTAAATAAAACTCGTTATAAGAA